AATGAATCCAACTCCTTCCCGTCCCAGAAAGCACCTGCGCTAGCAGGATCGTACTAGAACATAGACCATGGCTCAGCAGTCATGCTGCTCATGCTGGAAGAGCACATATGATTGTTTGTTGTAGTGTGAACCATAGATAATCATGGTGTTAGCGGCGGAGGAGAATCTGTTAGGACCATGGTCTCTACAGTGGAAGAGGGGGGTAGGGCCAAAGACATGCATAGGGAAGTTGCCCGTTTTGAAGAAATCTACATTGGAAGATAATAGGCCGTAGTCTGAGCCGGTCGCTGTGAGAAGGGATGAAGCCATCTTAGGATGACTCGTAGTTCCGAAGTACCAGTAGTTGGGCATCTTGGTCCATGTTCCATCATCAGACGCGCTGCTGGCACAATTCAGTTCAAGAATACTACTACTCGCAGCATCCGAGGACACGAAGAATGACAAACTCCTGGTAATTTTTGTAGATTGGGAGCAAAGACTATGGCTATATTTTTGTCATACTACACGTTCAACAGGTCTGATACATACAAGATTTCAGGCATGAGGAGAGGCTGAACTAGTCTGAGCCATGTTAGTTGGAAGTATGAACGTTTGCAAACAACGTACCTAGGTGTCGAGAGTGAGTGACTCGGGTGCCAGCATCCCCCCATTGACAACTTCATCTGCAAGTTGAACGCCAAGTTGAACTCAACGTGCCTCCCACGACAAGGTGTCGGGCGTGGATGGCAGTGGAGATTCAGCAACGGATTCTGTGGCTTGTGGAAAGATCAGAGAGATCACATAACTGGAGAGACCGACTCACATGGGTTGGTGTGGTCGGTACACGCTAAGATATTGTGAATGTCGATGCGAGGGATCAGAATAAAGCACGCACCTGAGCGCTGAAACACAACCCTGAGGATGTTGAGAGGTCGCATGAAGGTGGTCCTAGACTTCGTCGTCATAGCTTCGCAACGAAGTTCACTTGTCAATCTCACCTTGCGACGTTGAGGAGTTTATGAAGTTGTTTGGCTCTGAGTAGCTTCATCTGCCGACTTAGGTGTGAGTGGTTTTCGGGGAATGGCAGGGTTTAATCTTACTGTTCAGACAGGTATCGATATCTTTCGGGGTGTTAAACGCGGTCGTACAGGCGAGACAGTGGTGGAGAAGGTAATAAAAAGGCAGCATGGGAGGAAAGGTTATCTGTGGCTACTTACGTCGGACTCAGGCAACGAAGACACAATCCCAACACCTGGTCCCTGCGCTTAATACTTGTCACTCACGCCTCAGGCATACCGATGCCCTCTCCAAGACAGTCTCACTCTCTTGTCTTCAGTTTGGTCGACCGTCACCAGCCAAAGTACGATTGCTTAGCGTTCAATTGCATGGCGTTCCTCTTCAGATTGTGAAGATCCCCCCACACAGCTCTATGGGTGCTGTGTTGCTAGTAGAAGTTGATGCGGTGAGGGCACTGTTGTGCTGTGTGAGGAAAGGGTGGCATCAAGGCCGAGGGATGGAAGGTACCGATGAATATTGGTACGTTATCCTCTTCCACTTCGTGTATTGATTTTGGCGACATCTTCAGATTGCAGACATGCGTATTCATCGTCTTATGACTTGCATGGGATCCCTGGACTGTGTCTGAAGACTTTTACAGGACGCTCCCATCTCAAAACATACGATCAACAGCTCGCAAGTTGAGGGGGATATCACCAACAATTAATGAGTATCTACCTCGACAGCAGCAGTGCCCTCCCTACTCCAGTCATTGCTTGCAAATTATTTGCTGTACCATGATAGGTCTGATTTCTCTACTGGGAGAGCATGAAGATTCGAGATTCGATGCATGTTAAGACCGCCATAAGTTGGTCTTAAGACTTGGAGGCCTAACTTCGCTGGTACCTTATTGGCATGGGTTATTCGAAGGTGCGGAATCTGCAGATGTTCAACAGTCTAGGATTATTTTGCTGATCTTCAGACTCGATGTACTTCCAAAAGCAAAGGAGAAAAGCTGGCTTCAGACAGAGTAAGGATGATATTAATTTGTTTAACCCTCAGCAGACTCTAACTATTTTTGCAGTCTTCAGATTAGTATCTACTTTATGTTTTTTTTGGTGATAATAAAATGTTTTATTATTGTGTGGTACATAAAAATTTTACGATAAGAGCATTGTATTTATCGATCTAAATACATTCGTGAATTGGAGGTCCAGGCCTGCGTGACAGAGTGACATTATGCCGAGGACTGCCGGACATCACGTGACACTCCGAGTGGACGAAACACTCCGAGTTCTGGCAGTCCCGCAGTTCTGGATGATTGAAGATCTTGGTGGCTGTGTAGATGCCGGCAATTATCCACTTCGTGTAATCGGGTATGACTGACTGCTTTTTGCATACTGCCGCTCTACTAAATGCTTTCTGGATTTCTGCCCGGCTCTTTCCGTCCTTTGGGCTGGCCCATACTATCGACAGTGACACTCCCACGACAATACATCTTCGTCTTTTCAATGATGAGGACCTCAGGCCGACATTCATTCAAGCTACTGGTGTGGATAGCTCATGTAGAGGCACGTAGATGGGCATTTCACCTTATCCAGTCACTTATTTCGGTCTCGTATAGGCATTTCATGTCTTGCTGGAAGGATAAATCTGTGCGCATGCGCGCGTCGAGGTCGAGATCTAACATCATTCCACGATACACGTCTATCTCCCCCTCTGATGGAGGTTTCTTCAATTTATACAACAACAATATCGCTCACCAAAGTGTACCCTTGGCGTTCAAAGGCATGTGGTACTATGGTAACACTGGAGTTTTCAACGTTCAGCCCGTGGGACCAAACGTTCTGTTGATGCGGTTGTCTAGGGCATTGTGGATCATCGAGCTCATCTGTCCTCATTATTACCGGCAATTGGACGTTTATTCACAATATGTATTGTTTCTTCCTGATTTCTTACATGCGCTGCTATCCCACCGTCATTAGATGGTAAGTCCGAGTTGGCGTCTCCCTCTCTTTTAATCTTCACGGAAAGGGCTGTTCGATGGTAGCTGTAGAATATGTCCAGACGGCGATGTTAGAATGACGGAAGCAGTGACTTCGCACCTTGGATACTTGTTCTAACTATCCGCCCTGATATTTACCTTTCTCCGAGTCAGCTCCTGCGCCGTATGCTGTTCTCGTCTACACTCACACCGGAACAGAATGGCAGTGCACCTATTTAACCGTACGGTCGAGCCTTTGTTAAGAAGTGTGATCGAACCTTGGAAATTGTGTTTCTTGATAGATACATTTCATTCCGTTTATATCCTAGAAGCTTCCAAGTTACCAATGTCCCATGTGTCCGTTCCAAAGAGAACAGATGAGGTCTTGAGACGCGCCGTGATCGATGAATCGTCGATTGAAATGGTTGAGGTTGCCAGTTTTTGCCTTGAAACGCCACAACTACTGGGACTAGAAGTCAATAGAGTTGGAGAAAGGTGACAGATAAGTGAAGACCAATTTCACGCACCGCCATCGAGTCTTGTCAAGTTACTTACGAACCAGCTTGGAACCAGCAACTTGAATTTCTGACAGGCTTGTCGTTCGGCAATGTCGGTCGACAGGAGAAAAAAGATACGTCATGATATGAAAGAGCCCGCATTCTTCAAAATGATCTTCCATTCACCCAGCCACCCAATTCTGGGACCTGTGACCTGTGCACAGGATCTCTGCGTCGAACCTGAAGATTTTGGTGGTGGCGGTGTAGATGCCGGCAATTATCCGTTCATGTAATCAGGTATGACCGAATATCAGTGTCACACTGGTAACTCTTTTTTTCCTGTCACGCTACTAAGTACTTTTTTCCTTCGATTTCTGTCCCTTCTTTTCTTTCGACCCTCGTCTGACAGCCCACGTTCTTGAGGCTCCCACGCTCTCGTCTCTTCCGTGGCTCAAATGTTGCTGTGAAGACGTCCTCAATACTCCCGACAGGATAGCATCTTAGCTGCCGGAGCGCGTAGGATAGGTCATGATAGGCCTCAATGCGCTATGTGCACCATTCTTGCAAATCTGTGGATAAATTACGCGTGAGGCTATCTAGAGGCGCGTAAATTCATCCTTTCCCCTAAGCCAGTCATTTATTTTGCTCTCGTGTAGGCGTTTTACGAGGGTTGAACCCACTATCGTTGCTGGTGAATCGTGCCGAGCATGCGTTCTCTCTCTATCCATGTCCTGAGGTGACGGCGTTGATATCTACTATCACTATCACGGCGAGGTCCAGCAATGTCTTCCAACTAAGATATTTTTTTTGAGGAAGGAGCAGCCTGGTGTGGCTAGGTCTCGTATTCGGCGAAGCTGGGATCAAATCATTCCACGAAACGCGTTCATCTTCCTCTGATGGATGTTTCCTCGCTTTTTGTAGCGACAGCATTGTTCAATAGCTTGGCTAACAGGTGTGTTCTTTTCTTCTGCTGACCATTGATGACCTATTTGTTCTTCTAGGTAATGGAGGTGGTGGCGACGGCTTACGGAAGTATGCTGTGTTTCGAGGTTGGGAGTAAGGTTCTGTTGCATCATGGACCGTGAATTGTGGTATGTCGTATTATATCTTCTTGTTTCTTGCTCTTATAGACACTGCAGGATATTCTCAGCACGATTCTCATATTATCTTTGTTCCATGGAATATACACCTGCTTTCTGATCGCACAAGTGCCTCTTGTTGATACGTTCGACCAACGCCCTCTAAGAAACCAACGCTAACTGCAAAGAAGAATTGCGATAAGCCAGCATATCCGCGATGAACGCTTGCCCTATCTTCAGGTGGCATCAGGCGACATGAACATCCGAACATCTCCATGGGCGTACGCCGGACGGCTCCTGAAATGAACCAAGCCAAGGGTCTCTGAGTGAATTATAGATTTGACTTTCTGGCGTTCAGATTGCTATAACGCGCTTCGAGAATGTCGTATACAAACCCGGTCATTGGTCCGGCGATACTATGCCCAAGATGTTAACGTCCTCAGAGGGAGGGTATCAGGGATCGGTATGGCTGGTTTCACTCTTGCGTTTCGTATTCTAATGGTTTGCTCCTCTGTTCTGAAGGGGATACTCGTGGCACAGCAACCGGGGTATAGTCTCGTTGTTGACAATACGGTCGCGTACGAGCTTACGACTGTCACTGGTCTTCTCCTTGAGGGTGCACGCGCCTCTACCCAGTATGGGGGAGGATACATCAACTTTGGCATCGTCACCTGTAACATGTAGGTCCGTGCATTTGCCAGGTTTTGGTCTCGTGCGGTGTATGACTGAACTCTTTCTGCAGCGTGGAGCCACTGCCAACTTTCACGGCGGCGACGGCCAAATTATCCTCCGAGTTCCTGTCAGAACACGACAAGCCTCCGCCCGAATGTCTGTGTCAAATCCTCGACCGTTGACGTGGTCGTTGAACTGATATATCAATCAGTGTCGTTTCCCGTGTGCAACTATATCTAACCTAATCGGATTAGGCGGGGAGGAGTTCAAAGTATAATTAAAGGTGTCCATAAGCTGGCGATATATGTTCTCTATTCTTCTATTCCTCATCTGTGCGATGCGTCGTTTAAGCAGACCCATAGCCCCGAACAAGCAATCAAGTTCTGGTTCGGTATCCGTTCGCTGCTCTTTCGAACTAGATCCTGACGCGTTGCGCAAGAAGAAAGGTTGCGCACGCATCTCAATAGAGTTTTTTTTTTACATCCTTATACGGCATGCCTCGTAGTTTACTCGGCCTGCGGTTGAACACAGCTCAGTAAAGCTATGAGATGCACGTATAGTGATAATTCGCAGGCGGGTTGACCATTGGCGCTGACCTGGTCCAAAAGCAAAATCAAATCTCCTTCGCTATGCACCATTACTTGGAGTCGAACCGAGCAAGGTCTTTACCGCATTTGCGCCATAAACTAGTTGCCGCTGATCCATAACAGGGCACAACAGCGCACCATAAAGTGCAGTTTGTGTGTAAAAGCAACCGAACTTTATTCAGACTTCTCATCAGGCATTAACGAAATCACGAAGTCATCCCCCAAGAAGAATTAAACTTAACAGTGCTTGTTCATTCATGAACACAGGAAGGGCAAGTCTACGCGAGGAACTCATACAAAAATGACACTCAGCCGACGTAAACCAATAGCAGTCTCACAGAATCGAGCGGAATCAAGCCATAGATGTATTTTCCATTTGGGTTACCGCTTGTGCATGATCAAGTGGCGAACAACTGAAAGAATGCGTATTATGTGAAATCATTGGTGTCATCCTTGTTGAACCCCAGTGAAAATTCCGTCGAGCCGGTTTGAGCCAAATCAAGCCGCAAAAATTACCATGTAGCGTGGTCGAGCCGGATCAAGCGGCGTATACAAGAAAGCATTGAGCTCCAAACCTACACCTTTTTGCGCTCAGCATATCTAAGAATACCAGAGTCGAATTTCTCTGAATCCAATGGTTCACCGAAATGCGCCGAACTTTGCGAGCGCAAACCACATTGGCCAAGTCGAGCCAATGGATCTGACCACGCACGTGCATGTCGTCCGGTGACGTGTTTAACGCCTCTTTCCTTTTTACCACCACCATCTCCGATTCTCCGTCACCTTCCAGCCTATTCGCCATCTTCGCCGTCGCCCTACACCCGAATCCTGTATTATCGCAGGTTGTGGCCTCCGCATGTGGCCTCTTACTGGCAAACTGACGCGAAGCCCAGCGATACGATGCTACAGACTGAAACTGCCATGAAAGGTGGATATATGCGCCGCGTTTAAACACCCTCAGCAGGAATACGTCTTCGGAAATTTCGTTTGAGTAGCAGGATATCTGGGTACTTCTCAGGTACGTCTCGCTGCACTCTTATATGTCGTTTTGCGACATTTAGAATGTCTTCAGTCGCTCTATGCTCTCTAGCCGCCACCTGGGTGTGGTCACGGTACGTTCTGTTCCATATATGCATATATTTCTTAGCTCACTAAATCTAGGTCGCGCTTGCTATCGCTCCAGCTAGCTTCCATTTCGTGAGTAGCCTTGAAATTGTCTTTCCCCGTCATTACGTGCTGATTTAACATTATCCAAGGCTGTCTATTTTGGTGCATCTATCTTGACGCCATGAAACGCAATTGAGACATCCATGCAGGACAGAGCCAGCTGTAGACGCAGTGGGAAGGGTGCTGCAGACCAGTGCCGCTACTTAGCGTAGTAGCGATTCTCTGATTTTATGTATATTAATAGTATTAAATAAAAATAGCAATAAAATCGAGCCCTACGAAGCCTAATGGAAACCCATGACACCGACATACCAAGCTCGAAATAGCTCGATTTGAGCTGGTAAATGGTTCACATTTCGAAGCTACAGCGAGCAGTATAGAGCCCCATCGATCATTTCCCCTGGGCTTGATTTGGCTCAGTACGGCTCGACCGACTTTTCACTGGGGTTGAACGTTGATCGATCTGACCTTCCGAACCATATTCTGAAGACTGGTCAGGTCAACGATTACCTGAGCATTGTCCATTCCGAGGGTCACTCAGATAAAAGGATTTTACGATATAAACCACCGCTCATCCTTATTCAAATAATATAACACAAAAAACGCGTGAAACAGTAAAAAGTACTCCAAACGAGACGTCCACCCTGCTCGCGCTTAGTCTTCGACCGGGATGCTGTAGAAACATTGATTAGAAGTGTTTCACCGTACATAACTAGACATGCCTTTGGGAATGGTCAACGTCTTCGTCGGCGTGGTTATGCCTCTCGTATTAGGTATGAGCGTTCACATTGTCGGGGCTGCTGTCGTGGGAACGGGCGCCGCTCACGGCGGCGCTGCTTGCTGGAGCACCGACGTCACGCCCGTGCACTTCTCCGGACTGTTCTAAACATTAGATGGGGACAACGCAGAATGAAGTAACGTACAGCCCCGGGTGCGTTGGGTGCGTTGGGTGCGCTAACCTGCGGAAGTGCATGTGCAGACATCACGAAGGCGAGCGCAACGATGGCAACAGCGTTGACGTTGAAGAGCATAGTGATGGTATCGAGTTTGGCTAGAGAGCGTGAAAGGCGGTAGAGATAATGGGAGTAGAGGGAAGAGTTGGGCGATGTGGGTTGTCGAATCGTCGCGTCCTTTTATACCCTGAGAACCCACCCCGGGTAGCGCAGATCCCAGCCACAGTCGACGTCATCGACGCGACGATGACGACATGCATGACACGCTCGTGGACGCGAGATTTCCCGATTCGGCTAGTCCCTCAGGAGAAACCACGCTATGTTAAGAGAGTTTTGGCCATCAACTATACGCGCGGAAATAGGGAGCGCGAGATGGACGAAAGAGACAGGAAATACAGAATGCTGCTACACTTGCGAGGACGTAGGATCACAGGTATCCACGAAAAGAACCTCAAAGGACTTTCATCGTTACCAGAGGTCGACAAGATCCAAAATCGTATTAGCCATGGAATCCGTATACCTTCACCGATATGTAAACCCGTCACTTCCGGAAGGATCAAATACATAAACAATTGCCTCCTGCGAGTTAATTCATCATCTCTGATGTTCGCAGGGTGAGTCTGAACTCGTACGCTGAAAGTATGCGTAAATGCAGGGTAGAAAGAACCGGCTACTTAGTTAGCTAGGGTACCCCTGATACGAATCTCTATCCCAAGTTTCCAAAGACTAGAAAAAAATAACGCCGTCAGCACCAGTCTCCGAAACTAATGGGGAGAAAAGATCACTCACGAACAGCGGTATCGTCATCACCAGCTGCACCCCAACCTCGGTACCTCCCAACAGGATAATCCCAAGAGACGGTTTGACTCGTCTCCATGATCCGTGGTCAAGGACAGGATCAACGAGTTGTTAGATGTCGCGTTTATCGGCAGGAATCACAGGTGAATAACGTTCACAGTAGAGAAAGCAAGCTTCATGTTTTTGATTTAGGTCGGATCGAGACGAAGTGGATTATGTAGTGCTCCGGGATGGGGACAACATGCCGAAGGAATCTGCATTCCCATGAGGAGAGCAACGCATCCTTGGATGCAGGAGGAAGGCTGTCAGAAAGGCATTTGCGGGAAGGAGCGATCGTCGGTAGTTCAACAGTAAGCTGCCAATGAACGAGACTCTACGTGTTTCCTTCATGAGATGGAGAGAAAACACAGCATTAGCGAATACCGCCCAATTCATGGAAGCGGAAAACACATTGGAGCTGGCAGTGATTACCGAACGACTCCATGACGCGAACTGAACTCGGCTATGCACGGCTAGCTCCAGCATGGGAAGTCAATAACCACCAGGCAGTCACGACGATAGTCTCCCTTCTGATGCCAAGGTGGGTACTGAGATGCTCCCGCAGTCCCACAGACAGCGCCGTGCGACTTTCTTGGTATTCCCATGCCTCGCATTCGCCTAGTTCAATTCGGAGATGTTTTCTTTTAGAAAAACGTCCCCGGAACGCTTCTCCCATATGAACTATCCCGAGTCTCGGTGACTCCACGATGATGACTGGTGACCAAGTAATTGCGAAGCACCCATCAGAGAGCTCGTCTAGCCACGGCTCATGACTAGGACTGCTCGAGAAGATAGCCCAAGTACTTGGTCAATAGTGAAAGGATCATATGAAGAAGGGGACAGTCTGCAGGAAAGATTGTTAGAGATGAGGGAGATAAGGGAGAAGAATACTGACAGTTCGAATTGTTCGACAGGCTTCGAAATTTCGAACTGGTGAGCGGTGGCGGGCGTCTCGCCCCCCGAACCAAAGCAAAGACAAGAAACGTCCCTATGCTTGACAATAAGAGTTGCGGTGCGTGGTAAAAAGGGAAGCGAGGTGGATAGGGTGTAGGGAAAAAGAACAGGGAATGCCGCCGCCCTCACAAACACGAAAGGAATTGAGGGTGCCCGAAGGCGGCGAAGCGTCTTTGGATCCCCAACCGCATTCAAACTGGCAGTCCGTATACCCATTCCGAGCACAGTTGATAAGAAGCTACAGCTGTAATATACCTTGTTCGCTGTAACGCCGATTTGAGTTTCGAGAGGGAACTTGGAAGAGACGCGCATCCTGTGTATATGCTATGGGGTTCGGAAACGCAGGATGGTGCTGATCGTTGTTACTATTAACATGGGGCCAACGACTGAGGTCGTCCGTGATGATTTCCAGGATTTTACAATCGTTTCCTTGATGATTGATGCTTCGATGCGCAACGGAAACGCCTGTAAGAATGGTGCCTTGTCGGTCCTGAAACATCTGCAAGCTCTCATTAACAAGATTGTATCGCACCGCAATGGTTTACCGACTCACCACACCTATCTGGACCACCCATGCGTCCTCCTCCATTCTCCTGCCTGTGCGAGTCATCCATAGCCGTTTTCTGGATCTCGGAGTGGAAAAAGGTTACCAAATGCGCTTGGCAGTATTGGCACAACGTTTGACTTTGGTAGTGAAGTAAAGTTGGAAGGACGCTGCAGGACGTTCTAGTACTCAGGATGGAGAACGAATGCCGTGCCATCGCGTCTGTTGTTTGCCGGACCGTGGGAGTATAAACCATAATCGGTAATCGTGTTACCGCTTCCGTCCGCGACTTTGCCAATTCTAGCCGATCTCCGTCATGTACCCGGCTTCATGTTTGATCACTTCAGAGGCTATAGTGTCCATTCGCTACAAAAATTCCCTATAATTATAGTGGAGCGACTTTTGTAAAAATCCCTATAACTATAGTAATGTCAAATGATACATATCTTGTAGGGATGCCATCACTTTTTGATTCCTAATTATACGTATCCCTTGTAGCAGTCTCGCCAGCCCTAGCTAGGTCCAGAGACTGTTGCCGTATGGCTGCCGAGTTAGGGTCCACGGGCACTGGATCGGTGTTCATTGCTTGGGCCCGAAAAAAAAAATCGCAGCCCAGAAAAATAATATTTAATGATTTACTATTGCCTCCCGACCCACGCGCAGCCTATTTTGGCCGGATGCGTCCGTGCGTACTTGGACGTATAAAACTGTGGGAAAATATCATTCCCAATGCGGTAGCAGCTCTGTTGGGTTTGAAAGCTTGGTAAAATTCTGCATTTCACACAGATTATTTAGGCTCGGTTTAATTAGAATACATTTATGTGATATATAAATGCTTAACAGAGTGCAAATACTGTCATTCAACTGATACGCAAACAGGAAAATGCCACTCTCACCATAGTCGGAATTTGCCGGATGCACCCCAATTAGGGGCGTAGGATAGAATACCCTTGCAATCCCGTACTCCTAGGGCTTTCTGTACCTCGAAAATATGATAGTCATATCTACATTTCATGATTTTACATTTTAGGCCAATAAATTAGCCTTTAATTCATGTTTATTCGACCAATAAATGCGAATAATGGTGAGACAATTGTTGAATTCAACTTTTACAAAAGTATGCAGCACAATGTACATCTAAATAATGATATAACAAATGAGAAAAAGACTTCTTGTGTGAATTATCAATGATACAAATGCATATATGGATCTGCCCTGAAGTGAATATATTATGAACACTCATAGTACACAAAACGAGCTTGTGAACTTTCGTCTGATTCCGTTTTCACTTCTTATGCATGAAACGGTATAATGGTGAGACTATAAGCAGATCGGGGTGGATCGGACCATTATTTTGACTTATACTAGACATAACCTTGCATTTTCAACAAAAAACATACCTATTGAGATGGTGCACAGATATATAGAACTGATATTTGCTTACAAGTGCCCTAAAATGTGGAGCAACCAATGTAAATTGAGGATTATCATGAGATGAGGGTATCCTGTTGCATTAAAAATTATATATACACAATCCTTATACCTATAATACAAGATTCCGATACACTTTGGGGCATCGGAGAGTGTACATCGAGCAGTGGAAGCATCCCGATGATGCATTCCGCTCGGTCGATCACCCCGGACCGCACAACCGTACCATGATCGAGTGGCTGTGCAGCACCGTTTTCTGTTCCTCTCCACCACGTCCACTTCCTTTCCTGCCCTCTCACTCGTCTGGTTTGCCCATTGTCATGGGTATATGGTACGTTTGAATTGTTTTTTATACTGACATGTCAAATTTAGGTCTTTTTGGTGTATCCGGCAGCCCCAAGATCCCCGGGTAGTGACCATTTCATCCCCACCCCACGCGTAAGCCCTCGCCCGAGGCAGCACTGCCAGATATGACCGCAACACTGTACGTTGACGACGTGACCCATGCACCCCTGCCATTGCCCCGATACGACCCACATTCTGCCGCGACCCATCCCATGCCCCCCACACGCGCATCGACCTCGATCGTCATTGGACACGCAAGCGCGGCACGATGACGACACAGGATATCACTAGGGTTTCCATATCGGACCTCATCACGTAGCGGGACGGCACCTGTAACAGTGACAACCACAATGACAACGACGACGGAAAAGCCAGGAGACTTCGAGCACGACGAGGGTTAGGGTGGATCTTAGGCTAGGGATGTAGAGGGAGACTGGGCAGCATACTGGGGAGGAAGGGGGAGGGCAGGAGGGCAGGATGGAGATCGGGCCGCCGACGTCCAACGACGGCAGCGACACTGACGTCCGTTTGGGCATCAAATGTCCTCCAAGACATGGGGGATCCGATGGTGGTCTCCATTTTCTCTCACGAGCCCGCCATGACGTTCATTAGTGCCATTGATCCCTAAATCGCTCCCTAGCTCATCCCTAGCCCATGCCGCCTATATGTTAATTTATTTTTGTATTATATAGTATTTTATATATATTTGTTTGTTTTACAATGCTTTAATTATGAATACTAAATATTTTATTACTGATACCCGTAAATAGGGAGTGCAAGAGCGGCAAACCCGAGGCGGGAATTGGTTGGGCACGTGGTGGGGAGAGACCAAGAAATGGATTGCATGTGAAAATTCATGGCTACGTATAACTTCGCTTTCTAGCGGATACATGAATTTGACAGGCCTATAATTATAGGGATTATTACAAAAGTGGTTCCACTATAGTTATAGGGATTTTTACGTAGAATGGACATGAAGGGATGCACTTCATCGTTCCGATATCTGGCATGTATTTCTGCGTCAGCCCTTGAATACGTCTTTGCCCAGACCTGCTTGAGCTATATGTTTTTATTGGTAAGCCTGTGCATTGCTGAACTACAAAACGTGTATTTTTTGATCCTATTCCGTGTAAAATGCGAGCTGGCGGCGCAGCCACCAAGCGAGCTTTTTGCACCAACACTTTAACGTGTCTCGTTTCATTGGACTTTAATGTAGTGTTGATGGACCCGCTGTGCCCAAAGCCGTCAAGCCTACGAACCAGTTACCGGTTCTTCATGCAAAGGGAAGGAATCGGGGGACCCGGCAAGTTGCAACTGCTGCTACTGGATGCTTTCTAACCTCCATGATCACGTCCTCTGGCTAGACTGGCATCATTTCCAATCCACATGAAAGCGAGGTCCCGTTCCAGCTTTAGTAACCGCAAATTACCAACTCCGTTGACCGAGCCTGCGGCTTCCTGAGTATTTATTTCTATAACTCCTACAGCCATCAAGAGGGTCCTAGTAAGATTTACCCATCTGTACCTCCGTGCCATTCACTCACACTACACAGTATAGACCTAAGTTGTCTCAGCTGACCGCGTAGAATCTCCAGCGAGCCTCCCAGATAATGACCAGACGATCCTCCTTGTCAATGACATCATTATCTTCCGATGACTAGCCTAACCACACGCAGCCTCACTCTCGGCCATCGTACCCTGAAGTCCACAGTCTTCGGCAGGACCTATGTACCGGGCAGTGATCGAGCCGGCTGACCACTGCTAGCGCCCTTTCATCAGAATCAGGACTTCCTCGGAGGTAAATTCGAGCCGTATACGCTCTTTTCCTTTGTGATGGGATACCATTTTGTCAGCAGGTACCATAAGGCGGGGACCTGATGGTCGGAAGGCATTTAAAGGCTTAGGATACAAGCAATCCTCAGTTGAGGGACCATGGACGTCTTACTGCTTTCTCTCCTGTTCTTGTGCTCAACAGGCGTACAAGGTGCAATATACGAACAGTTCGAGGAGCTACTGACCCTCGATTTTGATTACATCGTTGTTGGAGGTTCGTACTGTTCCTCTGCCCGCTGAGATGTTATCTCGTTGACTCTAAACCTCAGGCGGAACAGCAGGAAACGTCCTCGCAAATCGTCTAACAGAAGATCCCGACATCTCAGTGCTCGTCCTCGAAGCAGGTGGATCGTAGGTACCACCCCCTTCAAACCGCTCCATGCCACTAACTCCTTCACAGAACATCAGATGTACTCCTCTCCCAAGTACCCTTCTTCTGCCCTGAGGTAACACCCGAAACGTCGTTAGACTGGAATTACACCACAACCGCACAACCTGGGCTGAATGGACGTTCAATCTCGTTTCCTCGAGGGTACGGATTGGGAGGAAGTAGTGCCGTCAGTGCGTCCTGTCCTGTATTTCTGTTCGAAATACCCGGTTACTGATGCGAGCGCAGATTATTTGTTATACACCCGCGGTTCATCACAGGATTATGACCGCTATGCCCAGATCAGCGGTGACCCTGGTTGGGGATGGGAGGCTCTGCAGCCGTACTTTCGCAAGGTCAGGCATATCCCTCGTTCTAGTTCACCGTATTTCATCTTGACTCCACGACAGAACGAGCGCTTCGTTGTCCCTGCTGACTACCACAAGACATCCGAAGAATACGATCCGGAAGTCCATGGCTTTGACGGTGTCAACTCTGTATCTCTCCCGGGATACCCACGCGGAACGGACGGCCGCGTCATCCAGGCGACAGAGGAGCTAGCCGATGAGTTCCCATTCAATCTAGATTATAATTCCGGATATCAGCTTGGCATTGGTAAGGACTCTGTGAAAACAACTGTTTTGTCAAATGTACTGATCACGGAGAATCATCATAGGTTGGACACCAGCAACTATTGGAAACGGAACTCGAAGCAGTTCTCAAACGTCCTATCTCGGACCTCAGTACATCGGCCGGCCGAATCTGCACGTCCTGATCCACGCCCATGTGACTCGAATTCTTCCCTCGAATACCAGAACCAGCACCGTGCCTACGTTCAATTCCGTCGAGTTTACCCAAGACTATGGAGGTGACCCGGTTTCCTTCCTCGCCCAATATTGCCAACTGACCAAAGGTTCATTGTTAAGAAACAACGCACATCCTCACACCCCCAAACCTCAAAGAAATCATCCTCTCCGCAGGGTCCATCGGTTCTCCCCACATCCTCCTCAACTCAGGCATCGGCTCCCGCCCCTCCCTCGCCGCCCTAGGGATCCGACCCATCCTCCACCTCCCCGACGTAGGAAAGAACCTCACCGACCACCCATGGTTTGCCATTAACTTCCTCGTCAACAGCACAGACACTTTGGAGAATGTGTATTTCCGAAACGCGACTTTTCAGGTGGAGGCTCTGGCGGAGTGGCAAGTGAACCGAACGGGGTTCTTGGCGGGGAGTGTGGCTAGCCAGGTGGGGTTCTTAAGGATTCCGAGTGAGGAGGGTGTGGTGGAGGGAGAACCGTGTGCGGGGAATGAGACAGGGCATTATGAGTTGCTCTTTTCGGTGCGTAATATGACTTGGATCGGTGCTTAACCTACTTACTATTCATCTTTCGCAGAATGGTCTAATTCGAGGACCTGTTCCGGACACAGGAAACTATTTCTCAATAACAACTGTCGTTCTATGCCCACTATCACGTACTCTCCCCGGTTCTTTGTATCGTACCTCCTACTAATTATCCTTTCGATGTAGGCGGAAGCGTAAGCATCAACAGCACCAACCCCCTCCAACCCCCCTTAATCAACCCAAACTACCTCGCCCACCAACAAGACCTAGCCACAATGCAACACGCCATCACCCGCGCCCAGAAATTCCTCACTGCCCCCGTATGGGAGGACTACATCCTCGGTATTGCAACTAACACCACCGAAGATGATATCAGGAATAGCGTAGGGAGTATTTTCCACCCTATAGGTACGGCAAGCATGTCGCCTCCCGACGCAGACTGGGGCGTGGTCGACCCGGATTTGAAGTTGAAGGGGGTGAGGGGGGTGAGGGTTGTCGATGCGTCTGTTTTGGTGAGTTTTCTTTTGGGTGGTTTTTTCTTGAGAGTGTTCTTAGAGTGTTTTTTTTAGCCATTTCTGCCGGCAGCGCATACTCAGGTAGCGGTGTACGTTATAGCTGAGAGGGCGGCGGATCTCATTCGGAAGGGATAGTCGCCGATAGAGGGAAATGCAGCATGTACTATTCGACATGTCGTACCTCATCGTCAGCCCTTGCAGCCTTTATAGCTCATTAGAGTCCTTAACTGAAAGAAAGAAGCATCCCATGTCAGTTGCGTTAGGCTCCGGATTCATGGACTTGTTCAGGTTGTTCCCGAGTTTCACCAAAGATTTTCTCTACTCCTAATTTTATCAGCGAACATGAACGTGATATGTTTAGACAGACAGGGCGCGATCCCTGGTTACCCCCTATCGTCAGTCTAATTCTTCCGCAGAAAGGCCCCCCAACTGGGAAACATTCACGTTTTGGAAATCTTGACTCGAATATACCTAGGAATGTAAGCCCGAAAATTCACAGGCAAAGCGTCTCGTAAACGAAGAGTCTTTGATGCGAAGAGTGTCCAACGTATCCATTCTATCAAAGAGGGGGCACTCAGGACGATGACTGCCGCTATCCCCGCTCAGCCGGAAAGCCCACAGCACAATCTTCATCATACTTAGTCGGTAATAAAGGCTTTGGAGTGACTAAAGTGAATCCCACGATTGGAGTCCTTTCAAGTTTCTCAAAGCTACTATCCCAAGACGATGGGTCTACTCGTAATTATAATTCTGTTTCATGATTAAGCAGTGGCTGTCACGATAACGTCGACACCACTACCGAGAGGTCCATCTAGATTTAGTTGGTGCCGATGCGCTACCAAGCAATATGAGGACGCAAATTGGTGCTATTTGTGTGTATGATCTCGAGCTCGTAGCTGGCCTGTTAATGGACAGATCTTGGTACGCCCAATAACTGTGAGTAGTGAAATATTTGGAATCTTGAGCTCTTATTAGAATAAGTATATTTTCACCTCGTATAATGGCTACTACATAGCATATTTTACTATACCATTTTTTAACCACCGTATTCATATGTTACTAGTCTAAATCTTCCGGTGAATCCGATTCCTTCCGAATGAAATCCTAGAGATCGAAATCTTCCCCGAAGAAAGTTGAATCAGCTAATCTTAGACCTGTTCTATTGTTCTCCACACTCACCCCCATCTAAGAAAAGAACTCACCCCGTGTCTAAGAAAAGAACTTCGTCTCCACAACCTCCACAGCCCGAGAGATCGGATCGTGATCGACGCCCCTGTAACGGTTCTATATAGCCGGAAGTAAAATTGATCCCGTCTCAGCATTCCACTCCAATTCCACTCACTGCAGTCAGCATGATCTCTCCTCATGTCCCCGCCATCACCTTACTGCAGTTAACATCTCTCTGCCTGTCCCCACCTTCAAGGTGGGGTCAAAGCGCCAGATTAACACGAATACGATTTCCCGCCCCGTCATCCTACTATTCAAACGCTCCACGCGATCAATATTCAGGGCCAAGAAGCCCAGAAATTACGCCCACCAGTCAGTCATGACCATCGAAGAGATCGACGACGGTATATCTCTCCACTCGCCCTCGGATTACTCGCGATATCCCGCCGAGTCGTTCCCGAACGAGCCCAAGAAACTCGAGAGGAGCCGAGACTCTAGTGCGTCTGTATCCTTAGATCTATCGAGTTTGCTGTCCGAATCGAGTCAAATGTCTTCGTCGCCGTCGACCAAGTTTCCAGTGTTCGACTCGAGTCGAACGCTTTCAGCGTCGTCGTCTCACCTGCCGGTGCCCGACCCGAGTCCAGCGCCGTTGTCGACATCTGTATCAAGCGCTGTATTACCAAAAAGCGCGGTTCACGCTTCCAGGGCTAAGGAAGGTTTCAGATGGATGATCATGGTGCTTATGATTATTGTCACCAGGATCAGCAGCGAATTTTTACTCCGTAGAGTCATCGAAGGCATACATACATACCCCGGGTTGTCGTATCTTTAAATTTTATGCGAATCTCTCTTTTGTTTCTAGTTGCAATTATCTTGGATTAGATTAAGTATTTGATTTATAGAACAAGTATATTGGGTGAACATTACAAAATAGTGGCCGTGTTAGAATTTCTGAGCCATTTCGAGTCCGAATTAAATTTGAATCTAATGTGTCGAGTCGGAAACTAGGAAGAACCTAATCTTGCTCCGCTAGCCCGACACCGAACCCGGAATTTTTCGTGACAGCTCTAAGGCCAATTGGAAATGACCAAAGTCACGGTATTTCAGTCCGAACTCTGGACGATTGCACTCCGAAAAATGTAAAATTTCCGGAGAGTTTTTCACCGCCAGAAACTGATTACGAAAGTGGCAGGGCATATCCCGCCCAGGGCAGGACTGTGTCGGGACTAGGCGCATAGTAGCTATAAATGGTATACTATTGGTTTCAGGATTAGTTTATGACTGTCAGAAACTCTTCAGAAATTTTACTTTTTTTGGAGTGCAAAGCACCAAAGGTCTGTTTACGGTTTTCCCTGGTGCAGTAGCGGTGTCACAAAGTGAGAGAACGCAAATTCGAGATCTCAGAATCTAGATCTGGCGGGCGTGGGTCTGGATCACGTGGTATAAATTTTTTCGTAAAATTCCCGCGTGTTCTTTTAATTTACCATCATAGTAACCCTTCGGTCTCTTGGACTGCGTGAGGCTATTCTAACGGTTGCAAAGTGCTACGGCAATCACACTATAAAACGAGTCACCGGCCCCGAGTCCCTGACTGGTGCATGTGGGTTAAGTAAGGAGTAGCATGATAGTTTGCGCTTAGCGATACTCTCCAGATGCTGTTCAGGCAAAAAGATTAATTCTGCCAGATCGTTCTACGCTTTTCTCCTCCGAAATGTATTCTATGTCAGCCGGTATCTCATTATACCATCATCCGGCATTCTTGCAACCAAGTGGTACAGTGCCTGATGACGCCGCTGCTGCTGATGCTGGTTCGCTCCCTTCGGCTTTTCTCAAAATGCAGTACTCTCGCTAAGGATTTCTACTGCATTCTCTTGGTAGGCTGGTGCCACGATCAGTCGGAGGCTTTAGGTCCACCGTACATTCAAAAGACCGCCAATGTTTCTCGGCATCTCGTTCATCGCTATGGTCTTCCTCCTCCTTTTCGTTCTTGCATTATGCTCAAGCGTGTTCGGTGCAGTATATGAAAGTTTCGATGACCTTCCTACTCTCGATTTTGATTTCATCGTCATTGGAGGTTCGCTTTTTCTTTCGTTTTGAAGCATGATGATTTATTCACTTTGTGTTGAAGGGGGGACAGCGGGAAACGTTGTCGCAAATCGTTTAACAGAGGACTCTGATATCTCAGTGCTTGTTCTCGAAGCAGGTGGATCGTAGGTACACCATCTATAATTTTATGCAACAATTTACATCCTCTGCAGAACGGCGGACGAACTCCTCATACAAGTTCCTTTCTTTTCCCCCAATGTATCCTCCGGAACAGCTTGGGACTGGAACTTCACTACGACTGCACAATCTGGATTACTCGGACGTTCCATTTCGTACCCGAGAGGTTTCGGATTAGGAGGAAGTAGCGCAGTTAGTAAGTCCGTTTGAAAGACCGGCCGGTTAAACCTGGAAGCTGAAACATTTGTAGATTATATGCTGTATACACGTGGATCGTCTCAAGATTATGACCGTTATGCCCAGATCAGCGGAGACCCTGGTTGGGGGTGGGAGGCATTGCAGCCGTACATGCGAAAGGTTAGCCGTTTATCTTCCTTTACTAATCCAGTTGATTTAGACTTGTTATCTATGACAGAACGAACGTTTCGTTGCCCCTGCTGATAACCACAACGTATCTGGACAGTTCGATCCTACGACACATGGTTTTGATGGTATCAATGCTGTATCTCTTCCCGGATACCCGCGTGCTACGGACGGTAGTATTATTCAAGCGACAACGGAGTTTCCTCGCGAGTTCCCCTTCACTTTGGATTTTAATTCAGGGTACCAATTAGGCATCGGTACGCATTCACTCGGCCGCATTCAACTTGGACGATGCTAAATATCGACAGGATGGGCCCAGTATACCATTGGAAACGGAACTCGAAGTAGCTCGCAAGCGTCGTATCTTGGATCTGCTTACATTAGTCGACCAAACTTGCATGTCCTAATTCACGCGCGTGTCACTCGAATCCTACAGTCAAATACCAAGTCCACCAGTAGCCTACCGACATTTAATACTGTTGAATTTACTCAGGACGCGGGAGGTAAATACGCCTCATGATGTACTACTACACACAAAGCTCTCAGACTAACATAACTTCGATTCTTAGCAACCATGCACAAAATCGCACCTTCGAGTCTCCGAGAAATCATTTTCTCTGCTGGGTCGGTTGGTACCCCGCATATCCTACTCCACTCTGGCGTCGGCGACGAAACCGAACTGAAGGCTCTGGGAATCACACCAACACTCCATCTTCCCGACGTCGGCAAGAACCTGACAGACCATCCCATGACGTCCGTCAGCTTCTTGGTTAATAGCACAAGCACTATGGAGAACATCTACTTCAGAAACAAGACATTTCAAGCAAAGGCTTTGGCAGAGTGGAAAGCACATCGAACAGGCTTCTTGACAGGGGAAATAGCAAACCAGGCAGGCTTCTTTCGCATTCCTGTCGACGAGGGTATTCTGGATGGAGAACCAAGTGCAGGAAATGAGACCGCACATTACGAGCTGGCTTTTGTGGTGCGTATCGTTTCACTGAGTCAAAACCTGCCGGAGCTGACCTCCTTTACAGAACGGTCTGTTTTCAGAACCTGTCCCTGAGACAGGAAATTACTTCTCTATCACGACCGTCGTCCTATGTCCATTATCGCGTATGTTCGTAATCATTTTCATTCTGCGATTTTTCTGATCTTTTTTATACAGGCGGGGATGTCATCATCAATAGCACCAATCCCCTGGATCCCCCACTGATAAACCCAAACTATCTCTCACACTCGCAAGATCTCGATGTCATGAAGTATGCTATGGCGAGCGCGAAGAAATTTGCTACCGCTTCGATATTGGAAGACTATATCCTTGAGATGACGACGGATGTTACAGAGGATGATGATGTCAGGAATACGGTAGGTAGTATCTACCACCCAGTAGGTACCGCAAGCATGTCTCCGGAGGATGCGGATTGGGGAGTTGTAGACCCGGATTTGAAGTTGAAGGGTGCGAAAGGTGTGAGGATCGTCGATGCATCAGTTCTGGTGGGTTCATCTTCTTGTCTTCTTATCTAATTCACTGGCGTCGATTTTCTTTGTGCGTAGCCTTTTATACCTGCGGCACATACTGAAGCGGCCGTATACGTTATTGCTGAGAGGGCGGCGGATCTAATCAAAGCGGAATGACTAATTACTCTACTACTCAGTCCTCTTTTGTTCCCTACCTTAGAACGCCATAACATGATATATTAAGTGCAAAAGGTGCCAGCCTTTGTATCAGCAGTGTTATAGGATTCCATGAAATCGATCCAACTTCTTCTACTAACTTCTTGAGTAGAAATGCAGGCCTACAATGTTACTTTTTCCTGGTCCCGTATGCTTCCCGGATGGTACACTCACAATTTTTTTTCTTCTATCGACAATGTGCCCCGTGGTGGCAATCTGGGAACAGTTGTGAGAATAAAACTCCCAGAATGGTATCCATGTTTAGTAGCTGCCGATCAGCTCTATCACTTGATGATCAACTTTGATGAACAAACCCTCGGTAAAAGGAGCAATCTTGTTATAGGAAAACAGGCTCAGTCTTCTGTTCATCACGGCGCTTACAATTATAATCCCAATGCTCCTGGCGGCCACACATGGCCCCGGACGATACTAGCTGTCCAGATTGCAACCAATGATTCCACAAAAAAGGCCGAAAGATGGTACCCAATTTTTTCCACGCAAATAAATAATTGATTGATACGACGGTTTTTAGACACCCCCTTCTTGAAATACGATGCCACACCGGGCAACGTGAACTTTATAGATGATTACAGTGATAGATGCGCCTTTCTTTCGTGCCAATGGCTGCTACGACTGATCATCGATTTTATTAGAGTTGATGATTCGCCGAGCACTGAATTACCGGAGGAAGAGATCTTTTTTGGATCAATCAAGACACAAGACACATTAACGAAGCCCGATTCATGTCAGCATATGGCATGGTGGATGGCCCTGTAGATTTCAATTGACTCACAGCGAAAAACTTTGTCAGCGACTTGGTCCAATCTAAATCAGTGAATCCGGGGTAAAAGAGGTGAAGGTCACCTCCGTGTCATTTGACGTATGATGTTCAGATCGGTTGACAATGTCAACTCCAGGACTACATACGAGCGCCAGAATTCAATGATTTTACGTAACCGGCCGGCACTTCAGTAGTCATCGTGGTGGACATAAGACCATTGGGATACTTCCTTCATGACGATCTCTTTCCAATCCAGACACAAAATTCCCAGTACGCGATGCCAAGCAGCGACCAACCACCGTAGCCAAGTGCCCACTTATTCTATCCCATCCTTCTACTGGCTCATTATGATTAGGTTTTGTCATGTGAACTGTCTTTTTCCAGGTACGACTGGATCCGTCGGAGATTTCGGTACCCCAAAACATACATAAAACCGCGCAGCTTCAAGATTGTGGTGGTGCGTTCATTTCCCATGTATGCTATCTTCTTTATCATCCTCATAGTATGTTCAAGCGCGCTTGGTGCCATATACGAGAGGTTCGAAGATCTTCCCGCTCAGGATTTTGACTTCATTATCGTCGGAGGTTAGTTCTTCTCCATCAGGTACCCAGTCTCTGACTTATAACTTTGAAATTCAGGTGGAACTGCAGGGAATGTTCTTGCAAACCGTTTGACAGAGGATGATCACCTCTCTGTACTCGTACTTGAAGCCGGCGGATCGTTTGTCCTTCTCTATATACTTTGACTGGTAATCCAAACTCTGCTTTAGGACAGCTAATGTCCTCCTCTCTGAGGTTCCGTTCTTTTGCCTTGACATAACTCCCGGAACCCCCTGGGACTGGAACTTCACCACAACTGAACAACCAGGATTGAATGGACGTTCTGTCTCGTTTCCGAGAGGATATGGGTTAGGAGGAAGTAGTGCAGTCAGTAAGTCCTTTTGATGGAGTTGCCTAGATCTTTCAATTGATGTATTCCCAGATTATATGTTCTACACGCGTGGTTCATCTCAAGATTACGACCGCTATGCCCAAATCAGTGGCGACCCTGGTTGGGGATGGGAGGCATTGCAACCGTACGTTCGAAAGGTTCATCCTTTGCCTTCTATTACCATTCCTGTCGATAACGCTACGATAGAATGAACGCTTTGTCCCACCTAGCGATCACCACAACGCCACTGGTCAGTTCAATCCTGCGGTCCATGGCTTCAATGGCATCAACTCGGTGTCTCTCCCTGGAGTTCCACGCGCTACTGACAGTCGCATCATTCAAACTACGTCGGAGTTTCCTGACGATTTCCCGTTCAACTTGGATTACAATTCTGGATACCAGCTAGGAATCGGTGAGAATTTAGGGATCATCTGATTGATGCCGTGATATTGATATTAACCTTCGACAGGATGGTCTCCATACACCATTGGGAATGGTACTCGAAGTAGCTCGCAGGCGTCCTATCTTGCGTCTAGGTATATCGGACGGCCAAATTTGCATGTCCTAACCCATGCCCACGTCACTCGAATCCTACAGTCAAATACGAAAAACACTCACGACCGGTCGACGTTTGACACTGTCGAATTTACCCAAGATGCAGGAGGTGATGAAATCTTCCAAGTGCTATGTTCAGGATTTTTATTCTGACTTGACGTCATCGTAGCAACTATACATACCCTGGCGCCAGCTGGTCTTAAAGAAATCATTCTTTCTGCTGGATCCGTTGGTACCCCACACATTCTCCTTCACTCTGGCATCGGCGACAAAGCCGAGCTGACAGCTCTGGGGATCACTCCAAGGCTCCATCTTCCCGACGTTGGAAGGAACTTGACAGACCATACCTTATGGTCTGTTACCTTCTTCGTTAACGACACGGACACGATAGAGAACTTCTATTTCAGAAATGCGACCTTTCAAGCGGAGGCTCTAGCAGAGTGGCAAGCGAACCGAACAGGATTTTTATCAACGGGAGTATCGAGTCAGGTAGGGTTTCTTCGCGTTCCCGACGAAGCCGGTATATTGGACGGAGAACCATGTGCGGGAAATCAGACTGCGCACTATGAATTTCTTTTCACGGTATGGGTAATATGCTGTAATCCGGTTACAACAACGCTGACTTCTTTCTAGAACGGTATCCCCTCTCCATTTGCTCCTCCAGGAAACTTCTTTACCATCGGTATTGCAGGCATTTGCCCTTTGTCGCGTACGTATGCTGATTGCATCGCCTTTCCAACACCTATTAATCATTGGTAACAGGCGGGAATATCACTATCAACAGCACAAATCCTCTGGATGCGCCATTGATTAATCCCAATTATCTCTCGCATCCCCAAGATATTGCCATTTTGCAATATGCTGCTGAGAGTGCGAAAAAGTTTGTTTCCGCTGCAGTGTGGGATGGCTACATCCTCGGTCTCGCTGCAAACACAACCGAAAATGATATCCGCAATGGGGTCGGCAGCGTATTCCATCCTGTGGGTACCGCAAGCATGTCACCTACCGATGCCAATTGGGGTGTAGTAAACCCGGATTTGAAGTTGAAGGGCGCAAAGGGAGTGAGAATTGTGGACGCCTCGATTTTGGTAAGCCATTCATCCCATGCGTACTATCGCCGTTTCGAGCCCAATACCTCTTCTGCTAGCCACTCGTACCCGCGGCTCATACTCAGGTTCCGGTATATATAATCGCAGAGAGAGCCGCCGATTTAATCAAAGCAGATATGTGATGTCTGTTAGGAATGTTTGGTAAATGTTTCAATATAAGGATCTTTCTTTGAATTTGAATAGTAAGCCGACAACCGCGACCGAATACCTAGCTTGAGACGGTGGCTCCACCCTAGCGCCATTAATGAAAGTCGTGGGAAATGCTCCGGAATGGCAACTGTGTTGCCACTTTTATCGATCCTCCTCCTGACTAGCACGATCGTCGTCATTGGAACGAGTTTACCTTGGCAATTCCTCTTCTTCTGCTGAGCAGTTGGATGCGTTATTCTCTATCATATAAAGGTCATGATTTATATTCAGGGTCGACTTTGCTAAATGTAGACTTTCGTGGGGTTCATAACCCATGGCGTTCAACGAGTTGATACAACATCTGAGCCATTAATAGGTCCTGGGAAAGGCGGTCAATTCAATACATTCGTCCTCCTTATCGATGGACACGAGGAGCCAGCGCCTAAGGACACACTGCGGCACGCCGGAGCCCTCATAAGACCCCAAAGATGGACAGCCTTGCAGCACAAACCCTTGCATCCTCACCCCCACCATGTCTACCCCCGAAAGTTTCTCCGTCCCTTCGTCGTCGTCTAGCACAACATCTGACGACGATGACTACGCTAATGGTGTTGGCCTCGCCGACAGAGAGCTTTCTCAAACACGGAGAAAGCTTCTCGAGTTAATGAACCGTATGAGTAATACAGGGTCAGACGTCTACTGCGCCGCCTAGGACTGTCAATATACTTATCGTGTTTTTCAGGGCACAGAAGGATATAGACATCCCTCAAATCGCTGTCATCGGTCAGCAGAGTGCCGGAAAATCCTCCCTCATCGAATCTATATCTGGAATCACCCTCCCTCGAGCGAGCGGGACGTGCACGAGGTGATCCCTTTTGATTCGTCAACTAGATTGGGCCTTACCCCATTTGCTAGATGCCCGACAGAATGTCGGCTCCTGTATTCCTCGGCACCTTGGAAGTGTAAAGTCTCTCTTCGTATGGCGGACGCTCATGGAAAGCTTGACACCAAACCATTTGGTGAAGTTATCTACAACAAGAGCGAGGTTGAGGAGCGTCTGAGGAGAGCGCAGAGAGCGATCCTCAACCCCAAGGAGCCTATGAAGGACTTCATAGTTGGACAAGACAAAGACCTTGTGAAAAATGAACTTACTTTCTCCAGTGATTGCGTATCTCTCGAAATCAGCGGTCCCGATGTAGCGGACCTGTCTTTTTGCGATTTGCCAGGTGGGTAATACTACTAGAATCACCCCCGAAATTTGTCTAATTCAAGTCTAGGGCTTATCGCAAGTGTAAGCACCGGAGGAAATCAGAATGATATCAAACTGGTCGAGAGTCTGGTAGAGTCGTATATCACGAAGCCAAGCTGTGTGATATTGTTAACGGTGGCATGCGAAAGTAGGTTATATCCCTGGGCTCGCATTCATCTTTCTCAAAAATTATGTTGATTCTAGCGGACTTTGAGAACCAGGGTGCGTATTCCTTAGCGAAGAAGCACGACCCCAAGGGGAAAAGGACGATAGGTATGAGTTGCTGACGTTGCAACAACTGCGGGCTTACTAACATCCTTCTAAAGGTGTTCTCACCAAGCCCGACCGTATCGCTAGTGGGGATGAGGATCGATGGATTGCGTTCATCCGAAATGAAAGGGAGCCGCTCGAGAACAACTGGTATTGTGTGAAGCAGCCGTCCTCTGTTGAACTCGGACAGAAAATTACCTGGCAGCAGGCCCGGGAAAAGGAGAGGGATTGGTTCCGCACGACTGCTCCTTGGAAGGACATAGATTCGTTCTACAAAAGATACCTCCAGACGGCGAATTTGGTTGCGCGACTTAGTTCTATCCTATCCGATCTCATTGCCAAGAGGTATGCAGGTTTTATTGCGTCTTCCTTCCGTTGTATCTAATTACTGTCAATAGGCTCCCAGATATCCAGAAAGAAGTTGACGCCGCGATTCAAGACACTTTCCAGAAGCTAAATGCCCTGCCCAAAGCTCCATCGTCAAACCCCTTGCATGAAATATCCTCTTTGCTTCATGCCTTCACGATCGATTTGGGGTCGCACATTCAAGGAATCCCCGACCAGGACGGGATCATTCAGATGATCCGACCTGTGCAAGAGAAGTTTCAGCGGGAGATTCGATCGACGGCCCCAGATTTTCGGCCGTTTGAGCGTAAGCATGCTGGAAAGCGCAAGCTTGTGAAGCCTGATTTCCTTTCGAACGATGACGGGGAAGATAAACCAGAGGAACCGACTGAGGACGATGGATTCCTGCCTGATGATAGTAATACTATCTACATTGACGAGCTATGGACCCGGGCCCTTCAGTGAGTCCGTAATCAATGAAACGACATGCCATACTCACGTACGTTTGAAATCTAGCGCTCGAACAAGAGAGCTGCCCGGAAATTTCCCCTTCATCGTGAAAGCGTCCTTCATCTATACGTTCATTGAGAAGTGGAAAAGACCTGCGAAGGTTCTGTGTCATGCGGTTCATCAGATTCTCTCAGAGCGCGCAAACAGGCTCGTCAATCAACATTTTAGTAGCTACGGACAGGGCGCTCTGGAGCAACGCATTGGGTATGCACATCCCAGATCTTTACCGTTTGTGCGCTAAATATTACATCAGGGTGTTCGTCCAAGATTACCTCAAATTGCAGCTCCAGCGCACCGAAGAAAAAGTTGATTGGTTGTATTCTCTCGAGGATCTCCCGTTTACTCTCAATACCCATTATCTTGCGGATTACAACGCCAAGTTTTTCGCGCATTATAAAGGTGCAAGGCAGCGGGCGTCTAGCGGCGATATTGTTTCGAAACTCGAAGGGTTTCAAAATGGCGTGCGAACTACGACGACGCAGTATACGACCAACTCGATTACCAATGCAATCAGCGCGCTCAGCGCCATTGGGATTGAGGGTGTCAAGGCGAATGATTTAGCGAAATTGCTACCTCCTGATCAGATGGAACCCGCGCTGAGTATCATGGCAGAAGTTCGGGCTTATTTCCAGGGTATGTATATGACTCGTCTTGTGTTGATTTGAATTCTGATTGAGAACTAGTGGCCTACAAACGGTTTACCGATATCGTCCCCCTCGCCATTGACCACGATCTCGTCCGGGGTCTTAACCGTGATTTGTTGGAAGTGTTGTCGGATAGACTGGGGATCTACGGACCTGAGGGGCAGGGTTTGTGCGAGAGGCTGGCGCAGGAGAACCCGCAAATTTCTGAGAAGAGAAAGGAATTGGAGAAGAAGATGGAGAGGCTGCGGAGTGCGAGTTATGAGCTGTTGAACGTTAGATTTTGAGGGCCACACTGATACTTTGACTGGTGTCGCTAATTTGTATACTGTTTCGTAGTTCTGATAGGATAGGATTTTGATATGTACCCATGCATGCATTTTTTGTAGTTTAAACTGTTGAGATAAGCGGTAATTCTCCAGCCGCTCACCCGGATATAGCAGGGAACCCTCGCAAACAGGCGAGGGTCATCGTCGTTCGTCTACCTATTTATCTACATGCCGTGTACACTAATAGAAGCAATATGAGGTAATAAGGAAAGCCGAGGAGGAGAACAGATGAACGGTGCTTCCTACTGAAGATCCCGACGTCGACTGCACCATGATGCGCGACACTTGACATTCCAACATAAACATATATTTCTTTTTGACTGAGAATGATTTTGTGGAGCCTTGGGGTCAGACACAGAGAAGATGGCATAGGATGTGGTTGAGTTCATAACGCTCGCAAGGATTGGATTTTCTGTTCCGCTGCGGTGTCCCGCTTAGGAATAACAAGTAACGCCGGCAAGCGGCAAAGCCCGCTACCTTACCCGGTTTCACTTAGTCATCATATATATCACCTCGTAATTACAGTTATTTACCGGTCATTGGAATGCCAAAAAATATTTTTTGTCCCATCCACCACACATCGTCTTTTTCCTCAAATAAAGTAGCCACAAAATTTTTAATATTACTCAGTGATGTCCATATAAAGTATGAACTGGATCAAAGCATCTAGTATTGAGATATTTGTAATTTACGGTGTTTCATTGACTGGTAAATGACCACGTGGCAAACCCCTGCCAAATTTGCATCACTGTTCGATTTTTCATGGGGTCAGCAGTAGCGCTAAAATTCCCAAAAAATCACTAAAAATCCATAATATCTATGTCTCCGATTATGCAACACTGTCAGGCAGTGGAACTGGGGAGAAGGAGGCTAAATCAACTGTTTCAGTGACTGATGGTGTTGCAATGACCTGTCAATAACTGTAGCAGTAGCGATGGGCACGCTACACCTACGAGTTTTTTCACAAGATAAGAGTTATTGGTATGTTTATTGTTTCATTCTTAGGGACATTACATTGATTGGCCACAGCACATACTCCCATTTGCATGCAATTCAAATGCAAAATACGCAGGGTTTGGCAGTGGGTGGGTCACAGTCACTGTCACATGTATTGTTATGGGAAGCACGTTGATCATTTTATTTCTGTCAAGGATAGTCCAAATTTAGAAAGAGGGGGGACGGAGCAAGTAGGTAAAAGCGCTGCAAGTCCAGTTAGAAATAGTTTTCGCACTCCTCGTTCATACAAGGATGTCCTAAGGACCATTCATATCCTATTGCATTGTCCATCAAGAGACCGGCATCCAGTGCTGTACAAAGTTTGCTGCCTCCCCACTGGAAGATACCAATACCTCGAAAACCACAGAACCATCTTGTTATTGTTGTACACGCCCAACCGCAGTGACCTGGTAGAGTTGCAGTGCCGAATAAGAGTCGAATGTCTTTCAGTTCAAAGTCAATGATTTGTCGGAATGTGAGAATCCTTTGAGTGTCGGTCCGGCAGTTGGGGTTGCCATGGAATGAGCGGAATGCGAGTTTGGATGTTGTCAGTTTGGGATAGCAGCAAACGACCATGTTATATGTCAGGAAATTCATTTGTGCAGTAGTGGGTGAGTTTAAAATCGGGAGTAAAATGGACGTGTCTGCACTTTCGAGTACGACCACAGAACGATCCTAGGCATTAGTTAGTGTGAACTGAGGAAGCAATACAATAACAAACATCGTCGGGTGAAGTGAACTTGGTGATTGTTGCGACTATGCAGGGGTCTGTTGTGGTAAATCTTCTGGTGCCGTCGTTCATTCTGTCATTAGGGAGGAATCCTCTTTGAGAAAGGAAATTTCGCCATTTGTCAGCTTTGCCCAGGGGGGTGACGATATTGAGGTCATTTGGTAGCCAGCATCATGGTTCTGGTGAGAGGGTTGCCAAAGCCATGGAACCAGCTATCACGGAACAAGTGGATTTGAGCAGATGGAAAAAGGGATGTATCGTGATGACAGGTAAGAAGAGAAGCAAAGATCTTTGGAGGTGGTAGCGAAAGACTTCTTTGATGCCCTGGTGGATAGCGTTACATGCGTGGGCGAGTCTGATCAAGTCGATGGTGGAGCAATAGCGAAGAATGATGATAAGTATGTCAAGAATGTCCGTGATATGCACAGTTGGTGGTGACGGAGTCATGGAGGTGGGGTGGGAGGCGGGTCTGTTTTGGTCATTCCAGTGGGCAGGTTTGATTCAGTGTTTATGGCAACAAGTGCTTACATGTTTGTAAGACTAAGTATTTCTGTGTTTGGGATGGATATGGCGATCGGTGCCAGACGTCTGAGAGGAACAGTGGATGAATGATTGTAAGGGTTCTGATTGGAGGGATTGCGAATCATGTTTATGACGTTGATGAGTATCAGATGTTTGGTGATTCTTGGTTCGTATGTTAAGTACATAGGTTTTTACATAGTGGCATGTACTACAGTTAGAATAGGAGGCACCCCCCCACTTCTATGATGGGAATTTGTGGTAAGTAAGAGTTTATGGGGACGAAGAGGCAACAAACATTCTAGCATGGCATCTATAATATCTAGAAAGAAGACATTGAGGTGAGGAAGAGTTGAATATTAATATGCTGCTTACCGTTGTCCTCCATTTCATACATTGCGGGGGTCCAGTTGGGGTTGACACATCTGCTATCGTATACAAATCTTCAGTATGTTAGTGTAGAGACAGGAGAGTAAAAAAAGCAGCATACTTGAAGTCGCTAAGATCCTTTCCGACAGACTTGGTGAAGCCCTTCAGTAATTTTTCCAGTTTAGTCGAACATGTTGACTCTGAAGCGTTTTTCATGCCTGTTGGAGGCGAGAACCTAAAAGAGGATAGACGGCTGATTAGTTTCAGGAGTCAGTGACAAAGAAGACTAGCCTTGATGGACAGTCTAGACACGGAGGATACGGGACTAGCATCATGGCTGTGTTGTGGTTTTTGTTCAGGGTGTGGAAGATCGAAGCAATTTGTTCAAGGTGGGTAGAGAGGATTGACTGTCATTATTTTTGGTTCGAAGAGGAGTTCGATTGAGAAGCAGTGGGAGAGGTGGCGGTATGTTCAGGCCATCAGGTACTGGAAATTTTACATTTGACGCGTGAATATAAGGTTGGGAAGGACATACATCCGTTTTCCTATGAAATCATATATTTACATTGAGGGAGGGGGAGGTGGGGCAGGAGTTGTAATACACATTACTACTATTGACTGAGGCGTTGGTGCAACAAGTCATCTTTGAGAGCACTGTGTGGCATTGTTAGGATATAAGTGATTGGGGAGGACAGTTGGAAGAGACATACCTGTGAATCATCATATCAATGTCTTCTACTTCCGTTGGCATGACATCGCTGAGTCTTGTCCTGCTGCCATCTAATTTCAATACGAGAACGGGCCCATACCATCTGGCATCGAATAAGTTTCGGATCAAGTCGTTTTGACCGAAATGATCTGGGTCACTTTTGAAGAAAATGGCATAGCGGTTAGCGGATGTACTTTGAAACGTTTCAAGTATGAGTCAGTGCTTGTCTTTGTTCACCACGGGATATGTTCTCTGGCAGAATGCCATCCATTCTGACAAATCATAGTCGTCGATTGATCGAGGCTCGGAGACATCTTTATGGAAGGGTACGGGAATGAGAAACCACTGTCTTGGAGACTGTAACGGGTAAAGCAGTCCGAGAATGTGCCTGTTTGGCAGCTGCTCATGTGAATGAGTAGGTTATAATATATGAAGTGAGACTCACGATTTCTTCATATATTCGATCTGCGACGGTGCTGATGCGTTCTTGCTTGGGGGTCATTGCGGAAGAGTCTGAAAGTCTAAGATTACTTAGTGGTATTTATATGCCTGGATGGAGTAGCACTCACTAATGGTCATGGAATCTGTGAGAACGACAGAAAGTGCGGTTTGAACGTGGATGTTGAGCATAATGCAAAAAGTGAGTATTGTTTCACAGTGATGATTAAGATTTTACGCTGATGATATTAGGATTCACGTCTGTATTGGGGAGTGTTTTATGGGACGGGATGCAAGGTGGGGAGGATTGTACCAGTGCCACTGATCGAGTCGGCCAAGGAGTACCGAAGTATTGACGAGTTAGACAGCCATTTGTGGGTGTCACACAGTTTCATGTGTGGAGGAATAGCGGACTTGTTGGTCGGTCGGAAAGAGATCGGATACCGATATATGGTCTATTATGTCCTGCCGGATAGCGCGGATGAACGCAAGAATCATGCACTTCACAAGGTGGGGGTGCACTGGAAGGGAGATGTACTAATCATGAGGGCGATCTGGGATTACGAGTGTAGCCAATACCAATTGGAATCCATTCGGCAAGAGGACTTAACATTTGTGACAGATTGCTTGGCCAGGTAAGATATCTATGCACGTATGATTATTGTTCTTATCATTGTCTCAGGGCAATTGAAAAGTGGTGTTTGCGTTGAAAGGACATTAGCGTTGAAAGGGGTGTATTTGGAGTGACGTCAGGAAGGACTTTGTTTTTAAACGCTTGAATAGAAGACAGATCGGTACCAATATGGCCGATGCCAGTATCGCGCGAAGCCTTGACAGTATCATCAGATCGTATTATAACACTCCTGGAACGTCGATCAGCAAGATACTGTATCAGACAGACATATATGGAGAGAAGGAGTCGTCAAATACTTGGCGTTATTTTGACAGGGAGACACGGAAGCCATTCAGAGCAACATTGTTAGGTTGGTTACATTTTGGGATGTGTCTTACAGGGAATTTTTTGGTACAAGTGGTTGTCCTAGCGATTGGAGCAGCGCTAATTGTCTGGTTTTCAGTTTCCCATGTTGAGGAATGAAAACTGGTTAAGGTTGGGTCCAGTGAGTTCAGGCATCAGTGGTCAGCTTTTGTTTGATGCACAAGTCAATATGCTGCAAGGCTTGTTTTACAAGGACCAGGAAGAGGTGAGTGACGTCTCAGTCACAGGCAGGGACGGAACTGAGGGTTTTCAAGTGAGCGTCGTGCAGTTGGGTCTTTGGCACCAAAGAGAAAAACATTTTGATTTACGTTGATCCGTGTAATTTGGTACGCTTCATGAAATTGTATTTCTATTCAGATGTGTACTTATCGTTAGCAGGAAGTCAATACTCCTTCTGCCTGGAACGACGATGGCAGTTCTTCGGGAGGTAGTGCTGCGACCATGAGAACGATCAATATTTTGGATGAGGCTGCTGATTTCCCTGTGAAAATTGAAGTATCGTTTGCCAAGCATGTTTCCCTCGTTGGAAAAGATGCGATTGAGGTGAGTACAGAAAATACAGGATGGGGTGATGCTTAAATTTGATAGATGTTTGTCGTCCACGTGCATTCCATGCATATTATCCTGTATTAACGTGGGCTCGTGGTAAATAGGAAGGCAGACTTAGTTTGTACAGTAGTTTGATGTCAGAAAATAGTAATGTAAGTTGAAGTATTGAATTGTTGTTGCAGTTGTGAGCAATTCAGCTTCATCCGCTCGTGCAGGAAAGCGAAAAAAGGTGGCGTGTCTCATCATAAGTTGTTTAAAAAGCCTTCTTTAAATTTTGAACATGACTCTCCCCGCATTCGTTATGACTTCATATGGACTGCCTGTCCGCTTGTGCGAAGAACGTTCCAGTATTGAATCGAACACGGTATATTCCAGAGTTGGAGTATTGAGCATGGTTTGCATAGAGGAACTAAGTCGGGACCATGTCATTCAGGTTAGCGTCTTTAGTGAATTGTATATGCCAATGTTAACACGCATAGTATGAGCTTTTGGTATTGCAAATGGAGCCATTCTTCGAGGCAGTCGTTGTGTTGGTCAGATGTCTCGTCATTTGCGACTTTGATTGGAACGGAACCAATACGGATGGCGGTGAAGAATTTGTCGAACAATGGGAAGAATTAGATACACAAGGAGACATTGAACACTTTATCGATGCTGATCAAAGGCATGGGGAACCATTGGAGAGAATGATAGATAGTCGGGAGTTGCATGGGATGTCTGTTGAGCACGTAAGTGCACTGCATGTTAGCGACTGATTACACAAACAAGATCAAACAACTAAGCGTGACTCGCACTTCGGTCAGGCACTTTGTGTTGTCCGCAGGTTTGCACTCAAGGAGCTTCCGCTTAGTTAGAGCGAGAGTGAGTTCAGACTAAGTTATCGGGTGAATAAACTTTAGTTCGAGACTGAGGTTTAAGACCTGCAGTCGAGCTACTTAAATACAGTTTGGGTCATGCTAAATATACTACAAGTGTCTGCAACGGTACGGTAAACGTACTGAACCCTCATGGTAGAATGTGATCAAGTTCGGAGAATTAGCATAGCGAGATTACAAGGAAGCTGATAAGATAAGATATAGCATGAAATCGTAATATTACCCCCCTGTTAAGGCAGTCGTCCCGACTGCAATGTCTTCTGGTTTTGGTAGGTGTGTGCCCAATAGGGATTCCGGATTTGGCCTGATGAGGTATTCTTTTATCGCCTGCACTAGGGGATGGTCGACCTCGGATTCGGTTACTGACTCCGTTTCGGACCAGGAATCCGATTCGTCCCCGTTTTCCCACCAGTCTTGAGGAGGACGAGTGATGAAAGATACTTGTTCATACTCTTCAATCGCCTTGCGTGCATTGTCTAATTCCTGTTCGTCCACCCAGGAGTTCTCCTCTTGCGGATATCCTTTCCATTTGATAAGGTATTCCGTCTTGGTTCAGCGTCTGCGGCCTCTTCCTACTGTTCGTTCTCTTCGGTCTACGACTTCCTCTACTTCATATTGTTCTTGTCCGTCTATAAGATCTGGGGGTGGAGGCAAGGGCCGTATTTGGATTGGGAACTCCGGCGGATGATACGGGGTAAGTAGGTTTTCATTGAAGCAATCATGGATTTTCCAGGAGGGAGGAAGGCATAGTTTGTACGCGGAGGCGCCATGTTTCGATATTACTTCAAACGGCCTGACTCGTTTGTCTCCCAGTTTTTTCATTGGTCGAGGGAGGTGCAAGTTGGTGGAGTCCAACCATACCTTGTCTCCGGGTTGATACTCCTTTGCTGGTCGTTGGTGTTTGTCGTATTGTCGTTTCATGGTTTCGGCCACCTTTTCTAGTGCTTTGGCGGTCTGCTCGTGTATTTTTTGTATGTCCGCCACAAATTCCCTGGCTGCGGGATTTGTTCCCTCCCTTATCGTGAGCGGTGCGAGGTGAGGTTTTTGCCCATGATTGATTTTGAAAGGGGAATATCCGGTTGCCGAATGCTTTCGGTTATTGTGTTGGAAGGCTGCAAGTGGTAGCCATTCACTCCAATCGTTTTGTCGGTGGTTGATGAAGATTCGGAGGTATTTTTCAATCTCCTGATTTGCCCTTTCCGTTTGTCCATCGGTCTGTGGGTGGTAGGCCGTGGATGGGTTTCCTTGTATGTGAAGCATCTCGTATAACTCTTTCATGAATTTGGACACAAATTGGGGTCCTCTGTCTGATATCACCTTTTGTGGCATCCCGTGTTTCGCCCATACGTGATCTCTAAGGATCTTGGCCCATCCTTTCGTGGTCAACTCCGTGGAGCATGGTATCGGAATTACTTCTTTGGAGAAACGGTCTACGATCATGAGGATAGCGTTATACCCGTTTGAGTCTGGTAATTCGCCTATCATGTCGACCGTGATGTGTTCCCATGGTCGAGAGGGTACAGCGTGAGGATGTAGGGGCGCCCTCTTCCTTTGAGTGCTGGTCTTTGTGCGCTGACAGGCTTTGCACCCTTTCACATATCGTTCTACGTCCTGCTTCAACTTCGGCCACCAGTAGTCACGTTGGACGAGCTCCTTGGTTTTTTCGATACCTGGGTGTCCGGCTGTGATGTGGTCATGGTGAATGGCTATGAGCTCTCCTCGTAGTTTTGTGTCCTGGGGAACGTACAGCCATCCATCATAATACATTAGTCCTTCTCTTTGCATGATTCCTCTGGGATGGTGAAGGGATGCTTCTATTCCTTTGTCCCATCGGGTTACGTCTCGTACCACCGCTCGTATGCATTTGTGTATTTCCTCTTCTGCGGGCATTATGAGCGCCCTGAACATTTCCGGTTTTAGAACCACCATTTCCTCATTATCGCTGCTTCCCTGGTTATGGTCTGCTCTCCTGGATAATAGGTCCACCTTTTTGTTTGCCGTTCCCAGTTTGTGGTGTAACGTGAAGTTGTACTTGGCAAGTTCCGTTACCCATCGAGCTTGTCGATGGTTGAGCTTCTGTGGTTTTCGGAAGTATTGGAGATTTTGATGATCTGTCCAGATCTCGAAATCCTGACAGGCTCCCATGAGATAGTGCCTCCAGTCTTCCAGGGCGAGCATGATGGCTAGGAGTTCCTTGTCGTATATCTCATAGTTCCACTCTGTGGTTGTTAGGGCTTTGGATAAGAACACTACTGGTCTCCATTTCCCTGCTTGTTCTTGTGATAGAACTGCTCCTATTGCCCCTTCGCTTGCATCGGCCTCCACGCAATATTTTCCCGTACAGGTAGGTATCGCTAGTACTACTTCTTCTGCCAGCTTCCTTTTGATCTCTTTGAACGCATTTTCCTGGGCTATTCCCCATGTCCACTCTGTCTTCCCGGTGAGTTGAGTTAATGGTCTCACGTGCTTGCTGTAATCGCGGATGAACCTTCAGTAAAAGTTGGTGAACCCTAGGAATGATTGTAGCTCCCGTTTCTTGGTAGGTTGGGGCCATTCCGTGATTCCCTTGACTTTTACGGGGTCCATGCGCACAGATCCTTGGCTAATGATTACTCCGAGGTATTCGGTTTCTAATACCTTGAATTCGCATTTTTCCGCTTTCAGGAAAAGATTATTTGTGCGGAGAATGGTTAGGACTTCTTGCACGACAGCTCGATGTTTGTCTTTGTCCTTGGTGCAGATCAGGATGTCATCCAGGTACATGGTGACGTCTCCTCGTGCGATCTGCTCTTTGAACAAGTTGTTCATCATCCATTGAAAGGTAGCTGGCGAATTGGTGAGTCCAAAGAACATCACCATGGGTTCGAATAGTCCCCGATTGGTTCAGAAGGCTGCCTTCCATTCATCTCCACTTTTGATTCGCACATTATTATATCCCCATCTCACGTCTAACTTGGTAAAGTATTTGGCGTCCTTAAGCTGGTCCATCAATTCTCCAATGAGAGGGAGGGGATATCGGTTTTTGATGGTCATTTCGTTCAGCTTTCGGTAGTCTTGTACGGGTCGAAGCTTTCCATCCTTTTTCTTGACAAAGAAGAATGGTGACGCCATTGGCGATTTCGAGGGTCGAATCCTTTCCGATTCTAAGTTCTCATCAAGGAACTTGTCCAACTCCTCTTGCTCTGCGGGATTAAGGGGATAGACTTTGCAGTCTAGGCTTGCATTTGCATTGGGAATGAGTTCGATGGCATGGTCCCAGGGCTTTCGAGGTGGTAGCTCGTCAAAGTTTTCCTTTGCGAACACGTCTCGAAATTCTCGGTATGGCTCCGGGACTATTTCTTCGAACGTCTTTGCTTCCTTAGCTTGGTTTGCTTTGGCGGCTAGTTCATTGGCTTTGCTCCCCATGGCTCTAACATGCAAGGCTTCTTCGAAGTCGATGATTAGAATGGTGTCCCCTTCTTCTACTTCCGCTCCCCACCGCTGTTCCAGGTCTTCATCTGGTAACTGAAAAGGTATTTTGCGACACGAGCATCAAACTAGGGATACTGCTCCGGTTTTCCAGTCTATGATTGGGTTGTGCCGTTTAAGCCAATCATGACCTAAGAACATTGGTATGTTTCCTAGATCAACGACAGCGAGATCTAGCTTCTCGTGATGGTCTCCGATGGTCATTCGGAGTTCCACTATCTCGGTTATATCTCCTCCTTTGTTTCGGCTTCCATCTGCATTATAGACTGCTTGAGCCTTGGCGAGTTTTACTGTGTTGAGCTGGTGCTCCTGTACAAAGGACCGGTTTATGCAGCTTCCAGTGCAGCCGCTGTCTACCAGGGCGTCTATTGCTCGTACTTGGCTGGTGTCCAAGGTTTCGAGTTGGACGCGGATATTGACACTTCTCCCTCTTCCTCCTCGGATGTATTGTGGGGGAATACGTAGGTCTTGCATGTTTTGTAAGCACTGCTCCCGCTGCCTATAGGTTTCCTTGGGGGATCCAATGAGGTCTAGAACGAGATCCTCCTCTACTTCTATAAGGCGTCTGGGGTGTACCCACATTCGGAGGGTAGCAAGCTTTCCTTCCATGGTTTTTTCCTGTCTCATTTTTCGCCTTACCCACTCGGCACTGTGTGGCTTGAGCCACCCTTTGTCCCACTTGTCATTGTAGTACTCTTCCTCTAATTCCGTTATTTCATAATCTTCTGGGTACTCCTCGGTGTGGGTCACCGGGTCTTCCCCTCGTGCTTTGAGGCTTTGTTGGTAGCTGTAATCATCTTCCTCATCGGGCACTTCTTCGATGGAAACGGTGTTTTTATTGGAAA